AAACTCAAAAGAGCTATAAAGAGCATCTTACCTTTTCATCTGTAAGCAAAATACCAAGAGGAGAGAACAAGTGCAAAGAGAATGCAAGGGTGTCTCCAATCTCACTCTCACAGACGTGTCCCTTTGATGATGAATCTGACAGACACATTCTGATTTTCAGTGGGAGCTGGGAGGCAGCTAACTGCTGCAGGGCAGTTAAACAGAAGGTCTGCTTCAAAGCATAGGGGGTGTTTATTTAAGCTGCCCAGCTGTCTTGTTGGCATGAAGCAGGATGAAAATGCAGGTAGGAGCACAGATTGCCTCATCTCTGCACTGGCAGGTTAATGTGCTGCGTTACTGTCACTGGGAATCTTGCATTAATGATGTAGATTACCTGCATTACCTGACAGCCTGTGGTACACTGTTGTCAGGGGAGATCTGAGCTGTTTGCTAAACCAAACCAGTGCATGGACAAGTTTTGTGTTAATGCAACACTGCTGTGCTAGAGGCAAAGCAGCCCCAGCCTTCTCCTAACCACTTGTTTCCATGTCCTGATCTATCTTTAATTCCAGAAACCTCTTAATACCTCACTCATTTTTCTTACCCTATAGAATTCACACTTACAAAAGACAGCTAGATAACAGCATCCCTAGTTCTCAGTGCTCAGGTTCCTCAATGGCTGAGCACCAAAATAAACTTCACCCTCTTTTCTAGCAGGACCACAGTACACAAAAGAATCCCTTGCTAGCCTTGGGCTCATTGATGTAGGTGACAGCAAGGTTCTCACCTGCTGATGCAGCCTGCAAAGGATGAAATTCTGCCTGAGACACACACCAGGCAGAAAAAAGTCTGGCCTTGTAAGGAGCTGCCTTTCCTAAATTGCTATAAACAAACACACATGTTACAACAAAGCCCAGAATTCATCATCTTCTTATGGTTCATATATTAGTAAGGGAAATAGATGGAGTATTTGCCATGTTAAGCTGCCCCTGTAGTTCTTCACAACACCAGACCTTCATCCTTATTGCTCCACCCCTCTTCCAGCACTGTCTTGTAGACCCTCAGGAGTACAAACCACCTGAGGTGGCAAATTCTGCCTCTCACATGAACATATGCACAGCAAAGAGCTGCCCAGAGCATAGACTCAGGGCTGGGAAAAGAGCTGCAATGCTGTTTTCCAGCCACAATTTCTGATCCATTTTGGGTTAGTAGTGGATGGTAACAATCCCATAACTGAAGTTGAGGAGGGGTGGGGGGTTGCATCTTGGATAACTCTCCCTGTGGGAAGTCTTTTCTGGATTCCCTAATATAATTGCTATTTTTCTGCTCTCTGCTCATAATCGTGCAATGCAGCCATGCACTGAGCAGGCACTGGAAATTCTCTCATGCTTTTCTGCTGTAAATACAGTTGTGTCACCTTGGCTCCGAAATGGACTCTGAAAATGTTCCTGGTGTATTTGGTTCATATTTGACAAAACAGGAACATTAGATCATCTACATTCATTCACATATCTCACTTAAAACATGATGTCTGACAGTCCTAGCTTTAACTTTTCACATTTCATGTCACAGCCAAGAGGAACAAAACCCTTGAACTGAGAGACTGTCAAGATGTTTGATGCATTTAGTATGCTCAAGGGCTGTACCAAGCTGGACCCAAGCACATGTGCTGGCCCAGATTTCTTTTTGGCTCTGATAAGCTCAGACTTTGGCAGACGTGTGTAAAGATTTCCTGGACTCCAGACAACCCCAATCTGCAGCAATACACAAAGTGTATGGGCATCTGCATGGGTGTTGTGTGTATGTGCCTGTGTGGCAGGGATGTCAGACAATAAACCCAGCTCTGTGTGCCAGGCTCCCTGTAAATAAGAAGCCATGGGGTGATGGATGGGCTTGAGAAGGCCTGGAGCAGAATGGATGGGGTAGGCTCTATGGTGGCTGACATGCAGAGAGCTGGCTGGAGCCATGAGGATGGCATTGTGCAGATAAATGAGATTTGACTTCCCTGCTGGGTCTCTTTCCATCTGTTTTTCTGTTTCTAGAGGCAAATGCTGGGAAGGTTCATACACAATCTGCCAAGAGACCTTCCCATTTCTAAAAGCTCAATCCCAGCTTTGTGGGGTCTCCCAAAGCAGGCAGGTAATATTTGCCCTTCTGTTTTCCCCTCCAGGGCAAAAGTACTAACATTTTATTCTTTCCAACCTTTCCTGCACACTACAATTGTAAAGAATTTCAATTGTTTTTGCAGTTGTCCCAGACATCCTTGGGACGACAGAACAGCTCCCTGCTTACAGACCTTCAGTCCTTTTGTGATCCTTTTCAGAGCTGCCCTGCTTTTTAGGTTTCCTGCTTCCATCATCACCATTCCTCCCTATCTTGCCTTTCATACTTACTGGACTCCAAAGTTTCTTTGTCCCTCCTGACTGTGATGCAAGACATTTCCTCTCTGCAGATATTCAGGCTACCTGAACACCCCTTCCATCTGCCCTTTGAAACCTCTGGTTCCTTTACTTGCTCTGTTCTCTCTCACTTTTGCTATCCCCAAACAGCACTCCAGAATAGAAAGGACCAAATTCAGTAATATACCAATTGTATTAGTGGCAGGAGAGACAGGACATAAGGCATTAAGTAGTAGTTGTGACTATCCCCTGTGCCTTCACAAAGCCTCTCCCTGGGGCAATTTGTATTCAGTGACCACTTGAAACTTGATTCACCCGACATTAGTTGTAGGGCTGGAGCTGGGGCTCCCCTCACCCATCAGCTCCTGCTGACAGCCTGTGCTCTACTCTGCTGATCAGGACAGAAGTCATCTGCTCACACAGCACAGCTCAGGGAACTCCCTCTGCTGCAGCCCAGGCTTGTGAGCTGCCTGAGTCCCTGCTGAGCTCCAGCACCCCCGTTTTAGTTGACGCTGGACACCTTCAAGTCAATACATGCCCCTAGCCACAGCTGTGCCCCTCTTTCTCCTGAGCCTAGCCCAGCCTGCCCTGAGACCTTCCCAGCACAGCATCTGCCAGGGACAGGCCAGCCCAGCAAGCCACTGCACGGAAGGGTAAGAGGGGCCCATGAATGAATATGCAGTACCCTCTGCTCTGCTTCCCTCTGGGACTTCACGGTGAGGCTGACACAGCCACCACAGGCGCCCTGCTGTCAAACAGAGTCCACTCTACCCAGTAAAGAGGCTAAAACAGCAATGAGCCTGAGATTCACATCCAGGATACAGTTGCTTACCGTCAGCATGGCAGAGAAGAGTCTTCAGTTTCATGTGCAATGCCAGGTGACAAATGGGACACAATCAATAGGAAAGGTCATTGCTCACCCAGCTGGAAAGTACTCGCCAGTGTTACAGGGAAGAATGGGGCAGATTTGCCCTGATCTTTGCTGGGAGAGAGACATGGATGTGTCTCGACTGGCAAAACAGTTAGGCTGTGCTTTCAACATTCTTCCTTGCATGACACTCTCACTTTGACCCATATGTATAGAATTAATGCCTCCTGCTTCAAGGGAGAGGACATGGGAATACAACACCACTTCCATTAAACCCTCCAGCTGACAGAAAACTTCAGGTGTGAATTAGATAAGTGCAACTTAAATTCTGTGTGATTAATTACTAGTTGCAATAAGCCATTAACTGATGCCAAGTTGATCTAATTCAGAAACGAGACCTCACTTTTATCAACAGAGGAAGGACAGACAGCAAGCCGCGGTACGCAGGGGCTCGGTGCACGGCAGCGCACAAAACACAATGACTCGGTGGGAAAAGCTTCCCTCGCCCCTCGGCATCTCTGGCTCGGAGCCGGGACGTACCCCCGGGCCGAGAGAGGGACGGTGCCTCCGTCCGAGGCGACTTTGCTTCCCGGAGCGATCTGAGGAGGAAGCGTGCACCGTGACCGGCACGGTGGGATGTGAGTCCCGGAGCCCGTGCCGGGCATCCCGCGGGGCACGGAGGCACCCGAGCAGTCCGGAGCCCAGCACGGGTGACAGTGGCTCTGGCCGAAGGCGCTGTCCGAGCTCTGTGCCCGCCCGCACCGCCGTTACCGGAGCTCCGCGCGCATCCCGGCGGCGGCAGGACCGGGCACCCCCGCCAGCCCGTGCCTTTGTCTCCTCCGGGGCGCACGGAAAGTGGGAAGGTGTTCCCCACTCCTCCCCAGTCCCTGCGGCAGCAGAGGGGAGTGAGCTCGGCGGAGCACCCGCCGCTGGCCCGGGGCGGGGTGAGCGCGGCGCGGGCAGCGCTGCCTACCTGTGCGAAGGTCCCGGCGCGGCGGAGCCCGGCAGGCAGCGCAGGGCAGAGCTGTGCGAGCGGCGGAGGGGAGGCAGGTCTGCGGGGGGCACGGGGTGTTCAAACCCGAAAGGAGAGGAGGAGGAGGAGGAGGAAGAGGAGGAGGAGACAGGGGGAAGGCAGTGGGGGAATGTGGAGAGGAATCGGGGACATTGGGAATCCCGGGGGACCGGGGTGCATGGTGCCGGAGGAGGTGGGGCCGGGAGGGGCGGGGGGCTCTGGGCGTGCGGGGGTCGCGGGAGGAGCGCAGGGCCATGCCCGGGAGCGCGGTGCGGGGCTGCCCGGCGCTAAGGAGGAGCTGCGAGAGCGCAGGATGCCGGCGGCAGCAGCGGCCCCTGCCCCGGGCACGGACGGGACAGACAAAGACCGGAGACAAAGGCGTGGCAGCCCGCGGGGGCGGGGAGCGGGTGAGCCCCGCTCACCTGCGCGGCGGGGCGGGCTCCGCTCTCCCGCGGGCTCCCCCCGCGTTGTGGGCCCGGGGAGGCAGAGCCGCTGGTGGCTCGGCGTGCCCCGCTGGCTGCGCCGAGGCAGCGGGGCGGGCACGAGCTCTGCGCGGGCACGGGGCCGGGGGAGACACGGGGGCCGTGCTGAGGCGGGGCCCTGGGCGGCAGTGGCGGGCGGCGGGCCGTGCGGGCAGCGCCGTGCCGGGAGGGAATGCTGAGGAGGGGCAGCGCCGTGCCCCGTGCCGGGAGGGATCCCCGGCGATTCCCGAGCGGTTCCCGGGCTCGGGAATGCTGAGGAGGGGCAGCGCCGTGCCGTGGTCGGGGGTCTGGCCCCATCCGCCCTCCCTCCTGCTCGCAGAGCGGGCGAGGAGCGGCGGTGGCTGCAGCCCGGCACGGCACGGCACGGCACTGCTGGGGCAGGCTGCGCGGGCTGCTCTGGGCTGGTGCGGGAGCTCTGGTGGCAGGCACGGGCAGGGCGGTGGGTTGTGCTTCCATGGTGTGCCCCATCCCCGGGTTGGGTGGAGTTGTGGCAGCCTGGGGCAGTGGAAGGTGGCCCTGCCTCTGGCAGGGTGTTATTACAGTAAATGAGCTTTAAGGTCCCTTCTAACCCAAGCTGTTCTGTGATTCCATGAGCTCCCAGCCTGCACAGTCCTTGAGCGTGTAGTGCCTAGGTCCTACTTTGTGACTGTGGAAGGGTGGATGCCTTGGGTTGCTCGGGCATCTCTTGAAGAAGGAATGAAGTTTAAGGGAGGATGTGAACCTAAACCTCTAAAAACACAGATTGTTTATGATACTCTGTAGTGTATGTATGATATGTTTGTGTATGTATGTATGTTTATGATACTCTGTAATGTATGATACTCAATTTGAGAGCCACTGTGGCTGGGGTGCTAAATGAGATGCTTAACTATGTTAATTCTGTTTAGTGTAGCAGATCACTAATATTCCAGGAAGTCCTTGTATACAGTGATATAAAATGTTATATATATATGTATATATATGTATACAGTGATATGTTATATATATATACACACACATATCTATATCTATAGATATATATATACATATATCTGTTTTAAAAACTGGGGATGAAAGTAGATCCCTGTTTTGTGCAGGTTGAACTAATTCTTTGCAGGTCTGGAAAACGTGTTGTGTTGCAGCTAAAACAGCTTGAGAATCAGTGTCTAAAGAGCTTATTGGAACATCTGTGGTTTGTCAAAAGTCTTTGTAGAACACCTGAGTTACTGGTGGAGCCAGAGGCATTTAAAGACCTCTGCAGCTCATGAATGGTGCTGCTGTTAGTGGTTAGAATTTGTTGGCTTGCAGAGAGTGTGGATAAAATAATGAAACAAAGTAAAGTTTCTAATAGATAATTATGTACACTGTGGCTTAAATTGTGTAAGGCATGGAGTCTGCTATGCAGGGGGAGCTGTTGGGAAGCTGAACTCCAGCATCTGCTGTTCAGTTGTTGGCACGTGAGAGCCAGTTTGTCACAATAATGTGCTGCCCTTTGCTGCTCACAAATTTTAGGCTCCCCAGGGGTGTAGTCACAGCCCAAGCCTGTCAGAGTTCAAGGAGCAGCTGAATGATGCTCTAAGTCACATAGTTCAGTTTTAGGTGGTCCTGTGAGGAGCAGGGAGTTGAACTCCATGATCCTTACAGGTGCCTTCCAACCTGAGGAATTTTATAATCCTGTGCCACAAAGTTGACTTAATTATGCAGCTCTGCAGGGTTTGCTCTCAAGGGTTTGCTCCTTGAGACTGCAGAGAGCATCTCAGAAGTTGTTGGCAGTGGCAGCAGTTGGAAACCTGTGTCAGTGGAAGATGTGGCTCCAAGCTTGGACAAGCAATGGTTTATGGTGGTGTCAGAATAAACCCAAAACCCTGAGAAGTTCTTGTGTTATAGTAAGAGATAGGGCTTAGAAAAGGCAAGTACTATGGAGCTTTAAAAAAACCCCAGTGTTTCTTGCGTTACTAAAAAGGATTTGTCTGAACTTTCCTGTATCCCAGAAATGGAGGGAGACTGAAAACCCCAGTAATTAAATTATGAATAATCTCTCATCCTGAGATGTGAGCACTGGTTTGTGCACTGCTGGTAATCCCTGAGGACAGACTGGGCTTATGGGGGGTGCTCACAGGGTCTTCTGGTGTACAGCTCCATGAACAGTCTAGATGAATAATGCAGGAGCCAGAGGATAATCATTCCTTTTGTGGTTTCTTCCAGGGTCTGGGGAAGATGACCACTCTCACAAGGCAGGACCTCAACTTTGGGCAAGGTAATGTGTTATACTAAGCTGCAGCTGGTGTCCTTGTGAGGCTCCTCTTGGGTACTGAGCTTGGGGGAGTCTTGTAGGGTTGCTTTGTCCCTAAACTTTCTGCAGCTAAGAGGAGGCAGGTGAAATTTATGCAGAAAAAACTAACCTGTAAAAAAGGTCCCCTGAGTCTATGGTGTTGCTCTACTTTCCCACACCTTATTCCAGCATCCTTTACTTCTGTTTTTCAGTTGTTGCAGATGTTCTTTCAGAATTCCTGGAAGTGGCTGTTCACCTCATCTTGTATGTCAGAGAAGTTTACCCTATTGGGATCTTTCAGAAGAGGAAAAAATACAATGTACCTGTCCAGGTAGGAGATTTTCCTGGAAGCTGACAGCCACGTGGACAAGCAAAATAGCAAGGATCAATCAACACTCACCAGAAAAAAACTTACACTGCAAGTGATTGTTTACTGTACTTATTTTTGAGGACTTTTTAATGGACTTATTTTTGAGGAGAGCTTAGTTCCTGTCATAAGAGAGAACAGCCCCATAGCTGAGGATACAGCAAGTGGGACAAGCAGCTCATGGATAGCAGTAGTAGAAGCTGCCCCAGCTCTGTGCAGTGAAGTAACAGGAGAGCGTGTTTACTAGGAAGTAGAGATGGTTGGAATATGCTGTTCCCAATATGCTGTTCTGGGTATGCATTGCAGATTTACAACAACTGTGTGGGTGCAGTGATCTGCCTCAGCTGATCAACCCTTCCCTGAAGGAATTGCTGATTTGAATGGGCAACTCAGCATTTTTCAGCACTATTTGAAGCATGATTTGAGTGCCTTGTACACCCTAGTGCTTCTGTTTAAATCTTCCCTTCCCTTTTAGCATTGTCCTGGCTCATGTCAAACACAGCTCTGACTCTTCCCTGTGTTTGCTGCAGATGTCCTGCCACCCAGAGCTGAACCAGTACATCCAGGACACGCTGCACTGTGTAAAGCCACTGCTGGAGAAGGTGAGCTCACACTGGGGACCTGGGCAAAAGTACTGCAGGTGGATTTACTAGGAAGTAAGAGAACATAAATATTATCTTAACTGCAACATTTGTTTACACATGTACCATACACAATATACTAGCTGATAGAAGTTCCTAACAAAACTAAAATCATCATAACCTTTCCTGGCAGTTAAGACCCTGCCTTGCTTGTCTCATGTACCACACAAGGACACATGTCTGTGTATTTCCAGTTACATCATCCTACCTTTCTGCTTTACAATCCATCCGAGTTTAAGCACCTGCTGTGGCAGAACAGTTTGAATGCTTTGCTGTGAACCAGGAAGCAAAGGTAGGCCTGGACTCCAGGTTTTGCAAGAGAATGGTGTGACCAATGAAATATTCCAGGAGGCTGCTGGCAGGTTTTGTATGCCTTGCTCTTTACAGACAGTCTTAATGCACATGTAGAAAATGGAATTAGGTCTGTTCTAAATTGTGGTTGTACAAAGCTGCTCTGTTTGGACAATGGTCTGAATGTATCTTAACTTCATCAGTGTCCCTCCCAGAGTGATGCAGTGAGATGGCTGTGCATTTCCTCCTTTGTTCCAGAACAGAATCTAGAGGAATTTGCAATTTAGCACACTTCCTCTCCCTCAGCCACAAGCTGGCAGCTTAACATCCAGCAAGAAATGGCTTTGCAAAAGCATTTTTTTTTCTGATTGCTAAGAATAATCTGAAGTCAGGTTTTGGATAAGTGCTTTCGCTGTGAGCCCAAACAACTCCACTGCATCAAAGAATGTGAAGCACACTGTGGGCAGCAGACAGTTTAAGGGAGGGATTTTTCTGTCTTGGTTCCTGCAGAACGATGTGGAGAAAGTTGTGGTTGTAATTCTGGATAAAGAGCACCACCCCGTGGAGAGATTTGTCTTTGAGATCACCCAGCCACCTCTTCTTTCCATTAGGTGAGGTTTCCACTTCTGTTTGCCCATGGCATCCAACACCCAGCCCTGAAAGATATTCTGGGAGCAACTTCAGGCCTTTGCTGCATGCCAGTAACAACTGCTGTCTCCTCCACAGTTCTGAGTCCCTGCTGTCCCACGTGGAGCAGCTACTGCGTGCCTTCATCCTGAAAATCAGCGTGTGTGATGCTGTGCTGGACAACAACCCCCCAGGTAAATGTCACTTGGATCCAAACAGCCTCATGCCTGGCGTTGGTTGGCTTGGCTGACCCTCTGGGAGCTGTCCCCTGAGCTGGAACCTGACACTTCTCTTAGGTTGCACCTTCACAGTTCTGGTTCACACGCGGGAGGCCGCCACACGCAACATGGAAAAGATCCAGGTGATAAAGGTGAGTGATATCCTCAGGTATCTGATTGTGTGTGAGAAGCTGCATAGCAAAGACTGGGCAGTGCAGAGTTTTTGGCATCTTTAAGGTTAAGGCTGAGAGATATTTTGAACGTGGAGGTTGGTGTCACATGAGGCACATCATAACTGTACTTGAAATGTGGTGAAATGGTTTATGCTGGTGAGCTGACAGCACATTTCCCACACACAGCCACCTCTGCAGATGACTTCAAGTCTTGAAATAGATTGTAACAATACTCACTGTCCAGTGCTTGCTCAAACACTTGGAAATACTCAGGCATGTAGAACAGGTAGTTGAATTTAATCAAGCAAAAAAGCAGCCGTCACCCACCATCCACTGTGTGGTGGCTGATTTTGTATAAAGAGCAAGAAAGACTAAGATTAATGTAATGAGTAGGTTTGGGGGCACAAATACATTGTATCTTACAGGAAACTGTGTGCAGAACACTTTCTAAAGAAGATTATTTTTTAAGAATCCTTGCTTAGATACAAGGAATCTTTTTTCCTGAGTCAAGTTATTTTCAGTGTCATAAGGCATAACAAATAAAGCTAGCAAAGTATAAAATAGTTTCAAAATGAAAGTCTGTTCTGTATTGCTTGGCAATGGAAACTTGTGTAGTAGACCCACCTGTAGACTTCCAAGGCAGGATGGAAACCCATGCCTTAAGCATTCTGGAGTTGCAGTTCAATCTTGGTGTAATGAACTGGGCATGGTAGCTCAGGACAGCTGAGAGTGTATCTTTTGAAGAAGTGAGATGTCACCTTTGCAGTAAATGAAGTGGGTTGACCTCACAGTTTGATGCTGTAACTGAAGACAATTATGCTGAGCATTGGGGACAAGCATGTAAGTGTTTTGTTGTTGTGGAATGTTTGAATTGCCTGTTCCTTCCCTCAGCCACTCTGTCTCTCTTTCAACTTAACACAAAACAAGTGCTGAGGAGGAGCTCACCTTACAGCACTGCTGGGTGCTGCCTCTAACACCTTGTGTTCCTGCCCCCAGGATTTCCCTTGGATCCTTGCTGATGAGCAAGACGTGCACATGCACGACCCCCGACTTATTCCCCTGAAAACCATGACATCTGACATCTTAAAGGTGAGCAGGGCATTCTGACCAAGAGGTGCTGAACCTACTGTAGTTCTGAGCTTTGAATGTTCTGACATCAGCTCTGCAGTTTTCTGTGGTGTAACAACTTTAAAACATACTGCTGAGCAGTAGCTGAGTCTTGCAGATGTCTGTGCCAGTAATCAAAGCAGGGCAAGACTCCTCATAGTAAAATAGGAAACCTGGTTATGGGGGAAGGTATAAGCACTTCCTATTCAGCCTGTTGCAGGCTTTTTTTTTTCCATTCACCTGCCTGTATACTAACAGGACTGTTGCTTGTTTCTCTCTCCAGATGCAGCTTTATGTAGAAGAGCGAGCTCACAAAGGCACCTGATTTCAAATCTTCCTTGCCTTCAAGCTTCATCTGATCTTCCAGTGGAGTAAGATCTGTCACAAACTGTATCTTGTTAACCATCTCTTCAGCTGGCCTTCTGGGTGAATGTAGAGCAGCTGCTGCCTCTTTATTTCAAGTGCTCTTACCACTGTATAAAGAACTGACTTGGAATGGGGAGCCAGAGCCTGTTCCCATCTTGACTTGTGTGAGAGTACAGGTGTTGAAACAGTGCATCCCTGGGGAGTCAGTGCTTTATTACCAGTCCAGTTCTCACCTGAAAAGGGCAGCTCCATTGCACACAGGCAGTGATAGACAGCTAGGAGCTGTCACACAGTCCATAAGAGCAACATTTGTGCTAAGGGGGAGCGAGGCCTTATGTAGTGTCTGTCCACTGTGACCATCCCAAGTAGTCTTCAATAAATACCAACTTTTACCCCAGTTGAACTGGGCTGAGTTCTGTCAAAACCAGGCTCCCTTCTTCAGTGAAGAAGTATTTTTATTTTCTGTGTAGCTTCCACTGCTTTTCTGGCCTGTATGTGGACTCTGTCAATTCCTATGAAAGGCGGTACAACCTTGGTCTCTCCTCTTTCACTCAGAGGTGGCATTAGAAATGTGGAATTTGTTTGCCCAGCAAGGACATCTGCCAAGTATCCTACTCCTAACTGAGAATAAGCAAGGAAAGCACTAATAATCCTGTCAGAGGAGATGGAACAGGGCCTTAGCATTAGTTCTGGGTATGTAAGGGTGGGAGACACAGTTCAAACAAGCTGAGCTTGTTTGTCAGAGAATTTGGTACACTAGCCTGTCCAGCACCTCCCGCTTCCTCCAAGTAACAAGTGTAGGAACATTACAGATCAAGTCTGGGCACTGCTTTAACATTTTATATTGGGTTACACTGCTCAGTATAAACCAAAGGTGATGTGGGAATAGCCCAGCACAATCAAAAGGCACTTGTGTTGTTAGGCAGCTGCCTGAAGGGACTTTTTACCTCCTCTTTCTCTACCTGTTTATTCAAACACCAAGGGACTGTTTTGGATAGGAAGGCAGGTACCATTTTGATCACACAGGCTTAAGAGAAAGGATAAGGAATTCACTGCTAGTGACACAGCACTTAGGAACAAGGAGTGACAGTTTCCTGATGCTATGAAGGGTCTTATGCAGATCATAAATCTTAACTGAATATTAAAGCTGAAACAGGAAAGAAAATACCATACAAAACAATCTGTGGCACAGTCCTTGTAGATACCATTGATAATCTGAAATTAAGCATTTTAGCCTTATCTTTCCTATGTTCCATAAACAAGAAAGTGTCTTTAAGACTGTGTGTGTTAGCTTAGGAACATATTAACTAGAAAGGATAGATCTCATATTTAATTGTCCCAGTTCTTCTCTGGAAGGGCACTAATAATCGGAGTAGCATCCATGGTAGAAGAGAATGGAAGATGAAGACAGAACACCATTCCAAAGGGCTGGGCCTGCTGAAGTTCTGCTGTGAACAAGAGCTGCAAGACAAAGCTAGGACACACCCAGACAGCACAGGCAGATCGTGCACCCAGGGCCACTTGGTTACAGTCCTGAGGTAAAAGCAAACCCTTCCACAGTGCTTCACATCCCAATGGTGATGCTGCTGTTTGTCACACGGACCCCATACCATCCTGCCCAGAACTGGGTGTCCTGGCCCCCGTGCTGGAACCAGATGTAACGAACTCCTGCTGGGTAATTCCGGAAGGTGTGGGAAACCTGGACAGAAAAGAGAATTCCTCTTAATTTGCCTAAATGAACCAGTGTTCACCTAGAAGCTCAGAAAACTACAGTGTGTGAGTCTTAGAGCTCTTCCTGAGCCCAGATAACTTTCATTGAAAGTGCACCATTCCCTGTTTTTTGGGGGAGGAGGGGGGTGACAGGGGGAGGAAAGAAGCCTTTCTCACTCAGCTTCTCCCCAAAATCCTATCTGAGCTAAGCTAACATTGAGCTTGATTTTTAAGTGCATGTATAAGTAACATCTAATGCAGAATGTACAGCAAATCAAACCAGTTAAACACCTGTAACTGTTTAAGAAAAGTTAAGTCTGCAATACTTGGATATCCATGCAGTAGTTTTAAAACAGTTTCTTGCCCCTGAAATCTGCTCTTGTTGTTTAATTATTTAGACAGAATCTCACATAAAACCAAGAAACAATTAAAAAGACTGCATTAAAACAACACAGAAGCCCATAGGATACTCTATAGAAAATGCTGGGCACCTAAAAATAGTATCTGTCTCATTCAGGACACTACTGCTTCTTCAGCATCATCAGTAGCAAGCACTGACTCACCTTCTCTACAGAGCAGAGGAGGCTGAAGAGCAGAGAAAGTCCACTGGCACTTTTGGCCAAGTAAGACTTGCAACACAAGTGTCACAACACTGCTGTAAAGCTCCTGCCTCCCTGGCTGCTGCTCACCTCTCTCCACTTGGCATCACTCCACTGCTCAATGACCACTGGCTCGGGATGGAATTCCTCCAGGACGTCGTGGTTTGTGGAGAGCAGCCTCACGGTGAGCTCGTAGCGGCACCCGCAGTCAAACCTGGCAGCGTACCTGGAGAGGCAGGAGGAATCAAGGAGCAGGGCTGTATATACAGCATTCAGCTTCCTTTATTTTTCAAAAGCAGTCTCCAAGGGGATCCCTGTCTGCAGAGGAAAAGGAGTGAAGGAGTGTCATCCCCATAGCTATAGAGAAGGTGTAGAACTTAGAGCTATCCCACCCTTCACAGGATTGCCACTGTGTAGTCCACTGAGTAAGTTTAGATTTAGCTTATTCTTCCTCAAGAACTACAACTCCCAAAGAATAAAAAACTGATTTTATGTCATGAAAAGCTCCAGAAGCCTAGCTTACCTCTAGACCAATGCCAGAAATTCTAATTTTCAGTGCTTCCACTCACCAGTCCTTGACTGTAATTTCAGGCCGTTCCTCATCCATCAGCTGATTCCAATAGCCTTCTTTTTCCAGGGTAATGAGTTGAGACTTGAAACATGGCCTGAAACGGACATAGAAATACAGTTCTGCAGAACACTTCTTTCTTGCTGTCCTTTTCCTGACAGCTTTAATACCCACCCAGATCCTGAAGGCCCACAAAGCTGACCTGGCTAAACCCCGCCTTATCCATAGTCAGAACCTGACAAGAAAATGAACCAAATTAGCTTCACCCCAAGATAAAAAGAACAGTTACTTACAAGCTGGATTAAGAGGGGTCTCTTTATTGATGTACTGGTAACAAGAAACCAGTGCCTAGTGCTTGTAAAAGCTGTTGATTCTCTGGTGACAGCTTTTATTACAAATTGTTTCTGTGACACACCTACCACTCCTGAAGGTTACAGAGCTTTGACCTTGTCTTGTCAGTGCAGTTGACTGAGTTTGCCAGACCCTTAACCTTTCTCTACCACTTTTGGGAGAGGAGAAGCAGGGATCCCATGAGGATTATCCTAACTATAAAAATTCCAGGAAGTTCCTGGTCAGGCAGGGAAATTTAGCCCCTGCTGTGATCAATTCTCTCAGCAGTACCCATCTCTTTAGATTAACTGGCATGAAGGGTTAATGAAGCTCCTTCCTTTTCCCACAGGTGATCTAAGGTTCAGTAACCTGCCACCAGCCTTCTAACCATGGTGCCTTTTCAGACAGATGGGAGGAAACAGGTTTCCCAGCTCCAGATAACTGGAATCCAGCTCTTACCTATATGAAGTGACAAAGTATTTGTGTACTCTGGTGTCAGGCACATCATTTCCATGAGCTCCAGGCAGATCTTCAATTTTCCACCTATCTCCTCCATTCTTATCAAGTCTCCAGTGCTGGAAGTTCTCTAAAAACACAGGTGTCCAAGGTGAGGGTTAGGACCTCACTTCAGCTACCAGCAGGATCTCAGCTTTTGTTAGAATCAGCAACAGAAGAATTCTAGGAAGCTACTTGATGTTTTCAGATCCACTGTATTTCCCTACAGCTCTAAGTGACTCCTGTCTTTATGCTGCCATTACCTTTATGTGGCTGTCAGCATCTAGGACAGCAGGTAGCAGATTCCTGACCTCATCAGAAAATCAGCAGCAGCAATAAAAGTAGGATTACTGTAGTTATATTAGTCAAGTCCTTGGTAATAAAAGTTCTCCAGCTGCCCAAATGTTTGGTCCCAATACCTGATCGTTTCACTACCACACTGTACTTGCAGTGCAAATTAATTGTCACTGCCTGCCATATTGGAATCTTTTGATTCCAGATTTTTCTGGCTAAAACCACAAAGTATTGGTAAATACATAGGTATCTGCCTACAGCAGTTTTACTGCAGGAGTCGAGCTGTGATCTGGCCTAGCAGAGCTCCACCCAACAGCTGGACAGTCCCACAGCACTAGCAGCAGCTGAGCCATGCATGACACTGACTCACCCGGACTGCTCGGAAACTCTTACTCCTTTATTATAAATAGTGAAACAAACCTTCAGCACAAGGGTTCTTGATTAAGTTTCTCTTCAAGTGGCAGAGCACATAGAAGGTCCTCCAGTCAGAGACGCTCCTCTCCAAGCTGTGACGATAAAACCCGTCGCGCTGGCACTTGCGCTTCCACAGCGTGGTCAGGTCCACCACGTAGCGCCACTGCGAGCACACCAGCCGGCAGCTGCGGAGCAGGTCCCGGGCGGGCAGCAGCGACAGCAGCTCCACCAGCACGTCCTCGGGAAGGTCCGCGATGCTTGCCATGGCAGAGCGCGGGCCGCAGGAGGGCGACGGCGGATCCCCGGCGCGGCGGGCCGAGCTGCCGGAAGCACAGGCGGTTTCCCCTCGTGACTAACAGCCTCCCGGCCAGCCCCAAACCCGCTCCCCGCCGCGATCCCGGCCCCGGGCCCGCCCGAGGGCCCCGGCCCGGCCTCACCTGGCTCCGCCCATCTGCGCCTCCGGACGCGGATGTGGGGCCGCGGGGCGGGGCCGGGACGGGGCGGGGCCGCGCTTGGGCGAATCGCGGGGCGGGGCCTTTGGGCGGGGCCTTTGGGCGGGGCCTTTGGGCGGGGCCTTTGGGCGGGGCCCGGCGCTCTATCCCGGTGGGTGCCGTGTCTGGGCAGCCCAGCCCAGCCCGGCTCCGGCCAGCCCGGTTCCGGCCAGCCCGCGCAGCCGCCGCCGCTCAGGTAAGAGCGCTCGGTGCCTCCCCTGAGCCTCCGCGGGTTTTCCCCGGTGTCCCCTGGGCAGCGCTGGGGAAGGAGGAGGGACGCGCGTGTGCCCCGAGCGCGTCAAGGGATGGGCAAAGCTGCCCCGAGCATGTCCTGGGCAAAGCCTTCCCGGTTTGGATGCTTACCTGGGGGAGAGAAGGAAAGGTACCTCTGCTCCTCTCCCGAATGCGGGGGGAAGCCTGGCTAACAGCGGGGAGGGAGCAGGAGAGGCTTCTGAAATTCCTGTACGAGATGAAACCAACATGATCCCTCCCGGCTACTTTTAAAAAATTGCGTTTTGGCCTTCGGGACTGTGGTTGAGGGTTGGAAGTGCGGGGAAAATAAAAAATCACTAATGCTGTCCCATAAAAGCCAGGGAGTTCTAAATTACAGTTTGCCCCTGCTGGGTGCAGTGCAGATAGAGGACACATCTGAACATCTAGATTTAGGATGCTGCTACAGCAGTGACTCCCAGTTTCTTCCCTTCCTTGCCAGGTTTGGCACCCCCGCATTTTGTTTAGTTGCATGCCAGGCTATTTCACCTCTGTTCCTAGTGCTCTCCCAGGCTTAATGAGTCATTCCCGAGGGGTTTGGCTGCATCCATGCAGTTTGCTGCAATCTCAGCAGCTTCCCAGCACCAGGACTCAGGTGACATAAAAGCAGTGTCACAGTGCGTCCCTCAGGGATGACACGGGCTCTGAATCTGCACACTCATCTTTCCATAGCCCTGCAGCACCTGGACTGGACCTCAGGGCAGCAGAGAGCTGTTTGGAGTTCAGAATTAGCACATGGAGTTAGAGCAAACACTTCTGACTTAATTCCTCCAGTTATGAGGCCATAGACAATAGGATATTAGAGAAGATCAGCTGAGTTATTTTCAGTTATGTTCAGACCTTTACTTTATACAGGCTCCTGATTAAGTGCCAGCACTCTGAGGAAAAGACTGTCAGATATAGAATGAACCACTGCAGAGGTGCCTGGCAAGAAGCTGGAATATTTAAGTACTGCTTTGCAGCATTTGTTAGCAGGGATGTTCTTAAAGGCAGAACAAACACCCATGTGCCTTCCTCTGCAGAGGAAATCATTACTAGGATGTTGATTTTTGCAGCAGCAGAGATTCTGGAAGGGCTGATTCCAGCCTGGAAAATGAACAAACTCAGTGGTCAAATACACACATTTTGTGGGCAGATTTCATTCAGGGCTTTTACTTAGAATATAAAAATAGTAATCTGCTTCAGGCTATTAATGTAATGAGGAGCAGGAGACCTTGAGGCTAGGAATCCAAATCATGCCTTCAGATAAAATATTTATTTTCCCTTTTTTTCTACTGCATCAGTGTCTGGCATTGCTGAAGCTGGGAGAACCTCACCATTGCTTTGCACCCTGTGCCTCAGCCAGCTGTGCCCAGCCTGCCCCAGGATGGAGTCCCTCCCTGAAGCAGTCCTGATCCGAATCCTGGCCTCGCTGCCTGCCGTGGAGCTGGTGCTGGTGTGCCGCCTGGTCTGCTGCCAGTGGAAGAACCTGGTTGATGGAGCTGCACTTTGGATCCTCAAGTGTCAGCAGGAAGGCCTCACCAGAGCAGAGTCAGATGCAGAGAACTGGCAAAGCTTCTACTTCCTGAGTAAGAAAAGGAAGAATCTCATCAAGAACCCATGCGGTGAAGGTGAGAGGATCACAACAAGCTTCAGGGTGTCAGAGAGATGACCAGTCACTGAGAATTGTGTTTGTCTAGTCTGTGAAAATAGATCTTAGTTGCTGTCAGGTTGCAGAATTTTCTCCCTGCCCAAGAGTAAAGTCACTCAATCCATACAGGCAAATCATTTAATGAGCACAAAGACCCTTGATAATCAGCCTTTGCAAAGGGCTTTATATGACATTAACTTTATCTAACCTCTGCAAGGATCTAAATCATGTTTGAGACACAAAGATGTCCTGGTAGAAACCATCCAACACAGTAATGGCTGTGGCATTTGTTTCTCTATTGCTTCTTGCTAAGCCATGACAGGAGAGATGAAGCCTTTCCCAGCTCAGGGGTGAGTCTACCTTCAGCTCACCAAGCCCTTCAGGCTTCTTTCCTTGCAGCAGCTCAGGCCAGTCATGTTTTTACCCTCCTCACCTCAGCCCATGTTACAGACTGGGCACACACCCCATGTGCCATTATTCTGAATTTGTGACCTTCACTTGCCAGAGCTATAAGCTGCTTAGCAATAAGCAGCAGTAACCAAGCCTCACAACCCCAGCAGCAACAATTTCACACATCACAGACCAAAGCAGTATCAACACAGCTCCCCCATTTTGTTTACAAGTGACCTTCTGCAAGCTTTTCCAACATCCAGGTTTCTCTCTTGAAAACCCTGATGTTTAAGGTCTTACTGCTTCAGAAAATACCACTCAGTGCTTTAGAAAACTTAGAAATAAATCAATCAGCGTCTGTCCCCAGAGTCTTTGTGTGCTGTGACACTGAAACTGGTGACACTGTTCAGAATACCTGAATTCTCTCCCTGGAGTACATAAACCCCCATGTGCACAGCTGGGGAATGCTAAAGTTTGGAGTGATTAGGCTCAGTCAGACTAAAGGTTTTTTCCTGACCTCTACTTGACAAACATATCCATAGTCTGCATATCAGATTACTGCTGTGTCTAATATCAAACTTTCACAAGGCAGAGGAGGGTTCCAGTGGGAGGGTCGAGTTCCCCACATCCACAGGACTCATCCAAGTCTCTTTTCTGACATTTGCAGAAGGCTTGGAGCACTGGGGAGAGGTAGAGAATGGAGGTGATGGCTGGAAAATTGAAGAGCTCCCAGGGGACTTTGGAAAAGAATTTCCTAGTGAAGAAGTGCATAAATACTTTGTCACATCTTATGAGTAAGGCTGCTTTCTTCTCTTACTCAGGAAAGAGGGCATTTTTGGTTCTCCCAGCCCCAGGAGAGACTGTCATACCAAGTAGCATCTTGTGTTTCAGGTGGTGTCGAAAGGCTCAGGTCATTGACCTCAGGGCTGAGGGCTACTGGGAAGAGCTGATGGATACAACCCAGCCTAAAATCATGGTAAGAGACTGGTAAGTATTAAGGAAGGCTCTGAGGACAGGCAGAGGGTTAAGAAAGATAAGGAAGAGAGGGCAGGCATAGACCTTGTTTATATATTGGGCCTTAAAACCTCAGCTGCCAGGGTCCTGGATGTGGGACAGGGCTCACAGACAGTTCACAGGCTTTAAACTGTTGGAGCACATGAGCTCCAAGCCCAGGTTCCTGTGGTCAGTGAGGGGAGGTGGTGGGCTGGCCTAAGAACCATTGCAGATTTCCATCTCAAGGCAAGGCCTCAGTGACTTGGTGAGCATGGTGGAGCCTTTGCAGAGCTCTTAGAGGTAATGCCAACACCTTGGCTCTCCTTTAGGTATGCAGGACGCAGTGATGCTGGCTGCCTCTATGAGCTGTGTGTGAAGCTGCTCTCTGAGAATGAGGATGTGCTGGCTGAGTACAAAAGTGACACTGTCACCATCCCAGAGGGAAATGATGCCAGCTGGACTGAGGTGAGTTACAGGTATGGGCTCAGCAGGTGACACCCAACCTACATGAATCAGGAATATTTTTAAGCAGAAGGATTCTCCAAGGGGAGGAGAAGGCTCTGTCGTGTGTTCTCTGGAGCCATGATCCTGTGATTGAAAAAGGAAAAGGGAGGCTGCTTTACAGGAAACTTGCTGAGTCACCACTAGCAGGTGTAAGGTGCAGGAGATGTCACAGAATCACAAGGTTGGAAGAGAACTTCAAGAGCATTGAGTCCAACCTGTTCCCTGACACCTCAGCTAAACCCTGGCACCCAGTGCCACATCCAGGCTTTGTTAAACACCCCCAGGGATGGGGACTGCACCCCCTCCCTGGGCAGCCATTCCAGAGCTTTATCACCCTTTGTGTGAAAAACTTTTTCCTAATATCCAGCCTATATTTCCCTTGCAGCAGCTTGAGGCTGTGTCCTCTGGTTCTGTCAGTGCTGCCTGGAGACAGAGCCCAGCCCCAGCTGAGCACAGGCACCTTTCAGGAGCTGTGCAGAGTGATGAGGGCACCCCTGAGTCTCCTTTTCTCCAGGCTGAGCACCCCCAGCTCCCTCAGTGGTTCCTCACAGGGTTTGTGTTCCAAGCCCCTCCCCAGCCTCGTTGCCTGCTCTGGATGTGCTCAGGCATCTCAATGTCCTTCCCAAACTGAGGGGCCAGAACTGGACACACAATGTCCAGCTGGGAGTGATTCGGTGGCCTCGGAGCAATGGGATCAAAGCTTCTCCCACTGTCAGTGTCCCAGTGTTACCCAGCCTGGCAGCTCCGACTGTGGCCAGTGGGGCTGAAGGCTCTGTGCACTGAACAGCAGTAGGTTTGTGGTGGTTTGACACTTACTAACAATCATTTTTATGTCTTTTCCCAAAGATCTCTCACACCTTTTCCAGCTACGGGCCCGGGGTGCGCTTCGTGCGCTTTGAGCACGGCGGCCAGGACACGCTGTTCTGGAAGGGCTGGTACGGCGTCCGTGTCACCCACAGCAGCGTGACAGTGGAGCCATAGCCATGCTCAGCCAGGATCTGCATGCTGGGCTTGACTTCCCTCAGGGCATCCCTAGCCTTTGGATGGTTTCTGCATGGTGCTGCTGCTGGCTGTAGAGCAAATGGCCCTTCTGCACAGGACGCCAGGAGCCACCACCCATCCTTCCTCAAGAGGACTATGCAAAGAATGTGAATGAATTTGTGGATGCACCACAAGACTCGGCCTCACCACTTGCACTGGTGTTCTCTGTCAGACAGGAGATCACCTAAAAATCCTGCAGACCTCCTCTGTTAGTCTGTAATCCCTGGCGCCCAGCCTGAGTCAGCTGTCTCTCCTGCCTGCTTCCCTGACTTGGGCACTCCTTAACTTGAAGGGATACTTTAAGTATATTTTCTGGAAGGTAGAGTGGGAAGAAAAGAATAAGGAAAACCACAGACCCTGTGTCTCAAAACATACCAGGGAAACCCAGAGCCCTGTCCCCAGCTGTTTCCATGACATGCAGTGAGAACCTTGGCTTCTTCCATTTATCAAAAGGTAACATTCTTTACCACAGAGGAGCTCTAGCTTGGCTGTCAATACTGTTAGTTCATTTTTTAGTGACAATGCAAAGCAAGAGAGGTTGAATCCTTTTCTCTTACACTGTTCCCAGCATCCATTTATCAAGGAAAGTGTTGGAAAGAGAAACATGTCTGGTGTCCAGCCCGGGGGCTTCATTTGGCTCCCTCAGATAGATGGCATCCAAGAGTAATTGCTGGCAGAGAGAGAGATGACAGCAACTTAGGGAAGTGGGTTAGAAAAAAAATTTGGGATAGGGTCCAGAAACAAATGAAAACAAACTCATTTACCCCTCCCTGGCCTCTGCATGCTTCTTGCAGCAAGCATCCTGGTTATCCAGTGTGATTCTGCTAGCAGGACACAGAGCTGCTGGCCTCACTCCACCTCTGCTGTCTGCAAGCACAGTCTGCCTCTGCCATGTGCTGCTGACAAGACAGAGCTTCAGTCTCCCACCTTTCTGGATATCACTCAGGGCTGTGTGCCCCATCCTGAACAGACCTCTAAGCATTCCTGAACCAAGACTGTCCCTGCTAGTTATTCCACTCAGAAGAGCATCCCCTAACAGAGCTGGTGTTGCCTAAAGAAAGTCTATTTTTGTGTCTGTGTGTTTTCCCTCCCTGGGCTGCCATTTGAGTGCCTCTTTGCACATGTAGTGACTGCTACTGCCTGCAGCCAAAGGAAGGAGCTTCCCACCTGGACCCTGTGCATGCTACTTCCTCAGGCTTTCTGCACACCTGCACCTGGGTGCCACACACACACAGAGTCCAGGCAAACATAATAAAGTGACACAATTGTGTGTGGATTTCCTCTTTTGTACTGGGTGTTTGTCCCCTGTGCTCAAGCATCCGCCTTCTGATGATGTGGAGCATGTCAGCCAGCTCTCTCCAAAAGCAGCAGTCACTGAGCTGTGTGTGATACCATGGGTGTCCCTGAAAGAGGCACCTGCTCTGTTCCCAGCACCCTGAGGCCATGGGAGGCACCTAATGTGCAGTGGGTCTGCAGTGTAACAGCAAGCAGAAGTGCATTCAAACAGAGTGGGAGTCCATTCAAGGCACAGAGAAGGCACAGGGAGGCTTCTACAGAGCCCAGCCCTGCTGCACACCTTCCAGGTCATTTGTCACGAGCTCTGCTGTGAGTTCAACCTCAATTCTGGCCCAGGAGGCACCAGCATCAGTTCAGAATGTAGTTGTTTCCCTTCCCTTACCCCTGCACACACTGTCATGCAGTGCTGCTTTACCCCCCCTTAGCCTTTAGTGCAACTTTTAGTTAATAATCAGCTCACTGCCAACTCCCTGCCCCCAGAAGAAACAATCCCTCCATTTGTCCCTGAGGAATCAGTATAGTGAGGGGATCAGTATTTCATGCAATGCAACTGTTAAACTGAACCTCTCCTAAGTGACCATCCTACAGTCAGGATAAACCTCAGAATTAAGCCTTCAGATGCTGTGGCCCTTGCACATATGAGGTAGGCCCATGGTCCCCACTTTGGGTTTGTCTAGGCACAGCCTGCCCAGCAGCTCTGTTAAAATGAACACAGCTGCCTGAGCTCTGTTCTCCAGCACTCCCTCTTTATGCCACTACTCCCCTGTCCTGGTTTAGGGCAAATCTGGGAGAAAACTTCCAAAGGGGGCCCCTCCAGAAAGCAAACCCACACGGCCCCTCCTCACAACCTGTTCAGGAAGGATTCCTCAGAGAGAAGTGGAAAGAACCTGTTTATTTAACAGTCAAAGCACCTCCAGCACACAAAATGAACAATACCAGATGACAGCACTCTTTCACCACTCTGAAAAAGACGGCAAATCCAGAAAGTCTCTCCTGGTAGTGGTCACTGTTATTGGTCCCTCTGGTGCTGGAGATAGCTGCTGCAGCCACAAGATGCAAACTCTCTGTGTGTGCCAGGTCCCAGATCCAGAGCAGGCTCGAGTGGTTTCAAGAAAAGGAAAGAAAAACAGTCCAGGGAAAATTTGGACTGCCTAGGTAGACTAACTAACAAGCAGAAGCAAAAGCAGGAGCAAAGCAGGAGCAGGAGCAAAGTGAAAGCAAAAGCAAAAAGCAAAAACAGCACTATGCACTGTCCTGTCTGTGTCCCGCCGACTGTGGGGGAGTGAGCAGGCTGATAAAACAAAACAAAACGAAACAAAACACAAAACCAAAACGAAACACTTTTCAGAGCCAGTCTTGAAGGCACAGAACATAATATCCAGCATAAATAGAACACAAAACTGGGGATACAAGCATCATAACGTCCCCCTAGTACACCCCATGTTCACATTTGCTGTCAGGGGCCACCTGCAAAGCTTGTCCTGACCTTCCCACTCCCCTCCAAGAGTGTTTTCCCAGACACTCAGTGCCTGCAGCCTCACTGCAGAGAACAGCCACCTCTGCTTCACAGAGCTGCTCACAAAGCCAGGGCTGACCTCAGGGGAGCAATTACTCCTCACATTCAGCCATGTCAGTACTAGATTCCCAAAGCAAGTGTCTGGGTACACGGGGAAAAAAAAAAGTCTTGCTCACATGATATTTTTTTATTTTGTTCCAGATGCCTTTTGAATTTTGATCAAACACTGTAAGTCTGAACACGCTGCACCATACATGTACCCCCAGTTCCAAGGTGATGTCAAATCACCCAGAGACAGGCAGAGTGCAGGAGGGTAATGGCTTCTCATGCCTTACAGACTTCATGGAAATCGAGATGGTGCAGTTTCATAGGATTACAGAAACTAAGTGTAACTGTGGCAAAAGGCCTGACATGTATTAAATCTCCCAGCTTCTGCAGGGCTCTGTCACCCACCATTTCAAGGTGACTTCCTTCTGCTTTCTGCTGTGCCAACACCAGCAGGCAGCTGTGTGACACCACACAGGAGCTTCTGGGGACACTGGTGACCAATGCAGATGTGTGCTGTACAGACAGAAAGAGGTCTGCCTAAGTGATTTATTTCGGATATTTGCATCCCCCAAACACAGGGTATTTAGAAATTTGAGCATTAAAACACAAAGATTGAGTCTTGCTGGAACATTCACGATAAAGAAAGAAAAAAAATGCCAAAAAGCCAAAACCACATAAAAGGGTCCCCTCCCAGTCTTGGTCATGGCAACCAGAGCTGCAGAAAGGGCTCTTGTTCCTTTGCACATCATGCCCACAAGGCACCCGAGCCGTGCTGAGCTATGCTGAACACAGCAGTGTTTTCCAAACACCCACAGTGGGATGGAACAGGTGGATGATGGCACTGGAGGGTTTGAGACAGGAGCCTTTCCCTCTTTGCCAAGACACCACAGGCAATCTCTTACCCCTACAGCTTTAACACTCAGAGGCACCAAGAGGAGCCCTAGTACAGCACCACAGCCCTGTCCTGCTCTTACCAGCTGGCACCTGCTGTCCTGGGTGGCTGATTCCACTTGGTGTCTGCTCTTGGACAAGATACCACTGTAATTTTATTTTCTACAAAGATCACCACAGTTAAACTGGGATATAAATGTTCATTATAGTTAAAAGGAGTTTGTTAGTTCATTTTCTGGTTTTGGTTTTTCCCCTCCTTGGGGTTTTTAGGTGTTTTTTTTTGGCTTTTTTGTTTTGGTTTGGTTTGGTTGTTGTTGTTGTTGTTGGTTTTGGTTGGGGTTTTTTGTGTTGGTTTTGTGGTGTTTGGTTTTTTGGGTTTTTTTTTTTTTGTTTGGTTTTTGGTTTTGTTTTGGTGTAATTTTGGTGTTTTGGTTTTTGGTTGGTTGATTTTGGCTGGTTGATTTTTTTCCATATTAACTTCTACAGCAAGTCTCTTGCAGAGGAGCAGAACAGAGCAATATGGGGTCCTGGCAAGGAAGCACTGTCATACATCTCCTGTAAAGTCTAATAGAATTTTTCTATATGAAACATCTATTATTACCCATCTGGGGGATTGTGGACAGATTGAGGAGTTTTCTCCCCCACTAGGCAATTTAAGACTGGGGATGAGACACTTGGTGGAGAAAATAAAAGCAATCTATCTGACAATTCCCTGTTGCTAGCAGCCCAGCTGTTCTGGCCATTTGTAAAAGGGAGGGTAGTTTAGGAACTTGATTCCTTCTAAATCAGCTTACAGAGGCTGGGAATAGCACTTCTGAAAGAGTATAGCAGAGCATCAACTACTGCAGCAGAGATGAACAGATTGACAGATTACTCTGAGTTGGCAGGCACCCAAAATGATCACTGAGTCCAACTCTTGAGTAAATGGCCCACACAGGCTTGAACCCACACCTTGGTGTTTGCTGTTGGCACATTGCTCTCTAAAAAATGAGATAGGGTCAGATATCAGCAGGGTCACAGGCAGTGGGATGGAAAACCAGGGATTTACCCTTGCCTGTCAAGAGCATAAACCCTCCCAAGAACTGGAGAGCCTTGGACTAGTGAAGAAACACTCCCTGAGGCTCACATCTCCCTTTGCAGCCCCTCCCACACCTCCTTCACTGCTGTCCCACGTCACACAGCTAACTAAAGTAGCCCAAATGTCAGCAGCCTTGGCACTGAGCTGACCTGATGTCGCAGTAGGACATGAAATAAAATGACACACACACACACTGGAACTCCAAGGTAAGAAGAAGGGAAGTTTATTTTCTGACTCCAATATTTACAGACTTTCAAAAGTGACAGTGGATTGGGGAATGAAATTGTCACCTCTCCCACGACACTGGTCAAATCAACAGTCCATCAATTATCTCCTACCCTAGAAAGGAATGTAAAACAATCATTATTTACATAAAAGCGTGTGAGAAACTCCATTGCAAAAATGTAAACATCAGAAGGCTTAGAAGAACTTTAGAAGAACAGGGCAACAACCTGATTCCTGCTTCTCCTTCCACCCAGTTAGTTCCTCAGAGCAGTGGCTCCCCTGCCTCAGACTCCTTACCTAGGAGGAAAATAAGGACCTAAAGATGCTTTCCTGCTGGGGACACACTAGGGGATTGCAGAGAGAGCAGCTACAGTGAGTTCAGCTGGGAAGTCTCACAGAACCTGGCAAGCACAAGGATTGCTCGGAGGGCTGAGCTCCTTCCACAGCAGCCTTTATGTAAAGCAGAGCTCCACAACCAGAACAACACGCTCATGAGCAAGACTGACACCTGAGAAGAGATGTCACACATATGGTGTGGCGCCCTGGTGTTTTAAGATTTTCTAAGCCTTCTGATGTTTACATTCTTGTAACGAACTTTCTCACACACTTTCTGTAAACAACTTATTGTTTTGCATTCTTTTATGGAGGAGGAGAAATTTGATGCGCTGTTGGTTTGTCCAGTGTCGTTGGAGAGGTGGCACTTTCACCCTCCAATCCACTGTCACTTTTGGAAATCTATAAATGTTGGAATCAGAAAATAAACTTCCCTTTTTACCTCCAGAACAGCAGCGTGTTCATGTTGTGGTTTTTTGTGTCTTGTAGTGACAACAGTGTAGGATTTTGCCCTCTCTTCACAGAGTGGCATAACTCTCCTTTGTCCCCCTAAAAAGGAAAGAAACCCAGAAGTTTCTCTCCTCAATCAGGTGAAAAGGCATCTCATAGGCCTAAGGGACTTCACCTCAAACTTAAGGATAGCTAATTGGCCAGAAGCCAAAAAGTCCCACCTGGACAATTTACTAGAAAAAGAAGTGAACAAAAAAACTTTTGTGAAATGTTTTACCAGGAGCAAAAACCTCTTATACCTGGATTGGTTTTTCTGTTTGTTATTTTGTCTTTTATTAAACCCTTTCGTTTCCAACACTGCCACAGCAGCCATCCTGCTGATTTTCTGCAGGGGCAGGGAGCTGGGGGCTGTGTCACCCTGCTCAGCTCGGG